ATGCAATGTTGTCATGACTCAAATAAAACGAATAAAATGTACTAATTAAAAAAAAAAAACTTTATTAAACTAGGAAAAAATTTCGGATATTTGACAATTTTGAGATCAGCCTAACACCTGCTGTCAAGTTTTCATGTATATCAAGTAGTTGTTAAAGTTCTACAATTGCCACTAAAACCGACCGACGTTTCGGTGAACGATCCCTTTTACCGATCGTCGATTCGGTGGAAGATTATTATTTTTTTCAGGTAAAACAAAAATAAAATAAAAAAACCCACATCGAGACAGATCTTCGGGTCGTAGCAGTACCCTAATTAACGTGCGCGCGTGTGTTTATAATTTGTCATTACGGGCGCCCCCTAATAATATCCTCTCGGCCGAGATTACCTACTACTCCACCTCTTCGTCGGTGATTACACACACACACAAACACGCGCGGTGTATACGGTGAGCAAGTGATGAGTGAGTATGCGGGAGGAGGAGTTGGGACGAGTGAAGAAAAAATAAGAATCCGACCGGCGGCGGCGGTGCGGCGGCCCGCTCGGGTGTAAAGGGGAATCCGGCGGAGGAATGCAATGCGTCGATGTGGAATGCGCGCGGACACGCAACAACGTAGGCAGATGTCCGAACCGGCAACGCCGCCGCTTCACCTTCTTCTCTCCGCCTGGGCCGCGTGTGTCGACTGGGACGTTGTCACACCCGTGTCGTTTTGCTCCCATACGATTCCCACTTTTCGTCGTTCCCGGACGCCATTCACTATCGAAGAGCCGCGCGTCGACTTCACAGCTAAATCCCGTTTTTACTAAATAACGACTAATTTTCAACTCCCCGCAGAGACCGCGGCCGGGACAAGTCATGAATCACGCCGTTGGGGTAGTATTGACGTTAATATGGTATTTAAATTGTAGACGGCCTTCAACACTCGATCAAACCCAACTTGTAGTACAATATTTTAACATTAACCTTTTTGGCAGCACATTTCACATCTTATGCTCGATAGGACTCTTTTCTGTCGATAAATTGGATTATCGTTGCGATCGGTGGTCGTCGAGTCGTCGTAGCCGCCCAAGGTCCAAGAGACGATCGTTGCATACGCCTTGGGTGTAGGTACTGTGTAAATAGGCATATATATATACCGTGCGAGTACGCGTATCGCGAGCTAGAGAACTCGACGTCGGGGTACCCGTGAGACGGGCGGGTGTAGGGGTGGTGACACGGAGAAGTCGGCGGTGACAATATAAGGGAGAGGCGGGTGGGAAGCAGCAGCTAGAGGGGAACAAACCAGACTCTCAGGGCGACCAATGTGAATATATAAATACATACAAACCGCGCGTGCGCCGCGCTCGCTTGCGTTTTTATTTTTATTTTTTTCTGCAAGCATCGTCCCGCCTCCGCCACTGTATCCATTACACCATTATGCTAATATTTTCAACATCGTTTTCATTTGTAAACCGACCGAACGCGAAATGCGAGATAAAGCGCTGTGTGTGTGTTGTGCGCGGTTCAACGAGCTTGCGGCACTGTATAGGAGAACTGCGCAGGAGACAAAGGGCAACAGGACGTCGGTGCACCCTGTGTTGAGAAACGAGACCGCCGCGTTGTCGCATTGTGTTTTTTTCTCTTTCTTTCTACATTTGTTATCCTCCGCAGAAGGAGTGATGTAGTAGTAGCAGCAGTAGTAGTAGTAGTAGAAGTAGGTAGTATAGGTAGTGTAAGTATTGTATAGGCGGTGTAGACGACGGTGGCGACGTCGGAGGAGTTTATATATATGCATAAAACAGTAGAAGATTGCATGTATAATAATATTGTGTTGCATACATAATGATAGGGTGCGTTTGTTGAATACCGTCGTCAAGCCTGTGCAGTTATATACCGAATGGCCTATGCTCTATCAACGGGCATATAATCCTGATGAGGATAAGCAATTATTACAATATTGGATAAAAAATAACATGCGTTAACGCGTTCAGACCGCGTTATGTTGATACCCCTAGTTATGGATTATATAATATTTTAACGGATCGGTAAATGTGTAGTATTTTAATCACATCATGCGCGTGTCCGGTCGCTGAGGATAATAATAATAACAATATTATCCTTTGCCAAGGTCGAAACTAACGGTAAACGCGATTAAGTTCGTGTCCGGGTAATTACATTATTTATCAGTATAAAAAAAAAAAGGAAAAAAGAGAAGATTTTATCCGTACACTATTTATAGATGTTTTTTTTTTAATTTATCTCGTCAAGAAAAATGGCACACGCGATACAGCATTTTGTATGTAATTTTTAAAAGGAGGACGTACCTACCTACCTTCAATGCGCGTGATGAGAGTGAGGAAAGAGAAACTAATTAAAAAAGACGATTGCGGTATTTTAAATGCAGATCCGATCCGCGTTCGTAGATTGCCCGTGTGATCCAATTTATTTTTATGGCTCTGGTATAAATAAGTTTGGATGCAATAAAAAATTATCGCCCGACCAACCACGAATTTAGTATGGAAAAAAATAACATTTTCTGCTTTTTAATCTGCCAACGAGTTTAATCGACTCAATATTATTTTCGAGGTCAGCAAATAGAATTTCATTGATGTCTTACATGTTTATATGGCGCGCGGAGTTGGGCTGGCAGAGTTTTTGAAAAATCGGTTGTTACTTGTTTCTATTTGACATCACTCACCTCTTTATACTTACACAAATGAACAGTTTTAGCGTGCAATTACACACAGAAATAATACAAATTATTTAAAGTAGAGACCCTTTCTAAGGGCATCTTTCAACTCGTCGTAACATATTTTTATCGAAAATCGCCCATTTTTTTAATTTAGATAATCCTAAATCTTTAATTTTGGTATTCGTTGTACTACTACGCTAAAGCTCAGCTCCTGAGAAAAATGTATAGGTAGTTGGGTGGAACATGTAGGTAGTACATAAGTAGATATATACATTTTGTCTTGTTGTATCAAAAAAATTGCCTATACTCTACTCTCTGACAAAAACAGGTAGCGTGGCGTCCTGCTTTAAGGGTAGTGATGTCCAACGATTGTTAGGTAGGTATATGTAAGAAAAAATACAAGAGTGGTGACAGGATTTTCGAGTGGTCGCCAGCAACTGCACTCGGACAAGAGTGTTTGCATCTTATGTCCCGCGGCGAAGGACAATGCTCAGGTGTTGTGATCCCGACAGGCGGTCGTTGGCCGCGTGAGTTTTTCTATCCTTGCTTATTTTCAAATTATATTCCACACACACTATTATAGCGCATGCTATAGTAGTGTACATAATATACTTGCTACGCTGCTACTACAACTAGTACTACAACTACTACTACTGCTTATTTTTTCCGCGGTTTAGAGAATAATAAAACGGCCTCGTCGTTTAAAACACCGACGGCGGCTGTGACGGGTTTTTATTATAGTATAATATAATAACGTTGTCGGCGAAAACGGTCGCATTTTTCAAAACAAATACACACGGTGACAACAACTGCCTACACCGCCGGCGTATACCCTTTTGTGCGCCGTCAAGTAGTTCAGTAGCGCGTTCACAACAAACACACCTACACGACTATACACAAAATAGTGTCAAAAGAATTACCGACAGCGAAAATCCAACCCCTTCACGTTCAAGGTAAACCGATGCCAAGTGTGTGTGTGTGTATCTCCGTGGCCCTTGTGTGTACTGCGAATTCGATACCACTTAACGGCCAACACTTCATTCAGCATTCGCTTCCACGGTTGGTCCAGGCATTGGTCATATTATATACTTGTCGGTATAATAGAACATTGTAGGAAACCCAAAACCGGGTCTGAATAATCCAGAAAACACCCTACACCCTAAAACAGTAAATACACAGCATATGGCGTGATTTAAACAAATATATGGGTTGTATTTAAAATTTAATCGTCCCAACCAAACTTAACCTAATCAAAATTTTGGCCAATCTCGATTCTATTCAAGTTGTATTATATTATTTATATATTTGTTTCTTGGTAAGAACCGCTCGCTCTCTCCGCTGCCGATGTTTTGCCTGCCGTCGACGGCTATTAGTATGATTTTTCATCATTCTCATCAGAACGTGATCATTTTGCCGAGATAACAATCTCGATCCAGTTGATGATCGATCGGGTTTTAAACGGTGCAACGATTATTATTATTATGCTATTGCCGCAGTTGTACTTTTTTTTTCTCCTCGATATAATATATATATATATACATAAACAAATGTACCATTGGAACAACAAGAGTACATTACACAATTCTACATAAATCATATCTGCGGTGAATAATATTATATAATTTATTATTACACACCAATCCCGTGCTATGTGGCTGTGAATGAAAACTTACATCCATGCCTATGTATACACCCGCAGCGACAACAATAATGTGATAATACTTTAATATTGAAATAATACAATTAACTGTTGTTCTAGCTGTGTGATAAGCAAAATACAAAACAGCCGGGATGATCGTTATTATTATTATTTTTTTTAAACACAGTCGTTTCGATAAAATTGGTTCGTTTTGCCGTGCCATGAATTTAAGTGCATTAGCCGTATCTCGTTAACACGATTCGTGATTTGGTCGTAATACGCGACTCGATGATTATTTTTACAGCAACCGGACGACGCCGATAACGTCCGGCAATCATCGAATGCATAATTATAAAATTCCGGCGTACGGTGCACGCCGCGACCGGGCTTGTGTTGATTTCTTTTTAAAAAAGGTTATTAAATTTGTGTCGTATAACACCGAAATGATAACGTTTATAAGACCAACTAATATATTGACTCATTAATATATTAGTTAAAAAAATATTTTGTATACCTAATATATTTCTATCGGACGAGACTTACCAAAAACTTTTATGTATTTAAGTAGTGAGCTCGTTTAAATTAATATATACGGTCCAAATGATACTATCGATATGAACCACATAACGTTCATTAATGGAAATTAGCAAAACATAAAATAATTAAAACGTTTGTTTTTGATTGGTACATATTAAGCGTTTTTAATAAATTTAAAAAAAATACAAATTTTATAAAAGTATTGTAGGTATAAACGATATAATTTACAAAATAATAATATTAATAATATGAACAATGTGATTATTTACACGAGTGGGGTCGAGCGGTCGTTAACTGTCGGATTCTTCGGTGGAATCGTCGTTGTAAGATGACGGGCTGGACGCGGTGCTGCACGCCTCGTTCTTCATCGTTGTGGACGCCCCGTCACCGCCGGTGGACGGCCGTTGCTGACGTTGGTGTTGCGTGGACGACACCGTCTGGTTGATGAAGGGGAACGGTTGGTACGGTACCGCGGAGAAGCACCGGAGATCTGGCATGAACGGCGCCGGAGGGTACGTTTCCTGGAGGGCATCGTTGAACTTGATACGGGCCACCAATTGGAGTACGCCGATTTTGAACTCGATTTTTTGCTTTTCGCTCATCGATTTGACGGTGGGCAACAACGACACCATGAATGACAGGTCGCCGTCGAGCCGGCACAACGCGTCTGTGGCCGATTGGCCGGCGAACGCGTTCAACGTTTCGGCGTGCTGTTGAACGTCCAATGGTAGCGGCGGCGTCATCGTTTCTGGTTTAGTAGACTCTTGTTGTGCCGACGTCCCTTCGCCCAAGTTTTTCCGGACTTTCTTTCTCGACGGTTCCCCTTCGGTTTTAACGCTGCTTTTCGATTCCTGGATGAACGGTATCAAAAACTGTAGGTGATCGAAAAGATAGTATTTTTTCCTGTGCTCCGGCGGCCCCTTGGACTTTCTCGGTTTCTTCCCTTTCACGTCCTTCACGAACGAATCTTTGATGTTCGTCCATTTCTTTTTGACGTCGGCCACTGAATATCAACAACAATAACATAACTATTATTATTTACATACTCTATCGATGGTTTTTCTTAACACTTACCTCTGTCACGTTGATCGAACGAACTGAGCGCGTGCCAATCCGAGTACAAAGTTTCGGCGATCTCCATCCACATGTTGGTCAGCACTTCTTTGTTCAGATGATTGACGTCGGCCGTGTCCCATATACACGACCGTTTGCGTATTTCGTGGATGAGTTTTTCCGTGAAGTACACCATGTTTTTTTTTTAGTTTTAATCGTTGCCGGGGCAATGGAAAATAAAACGTTATTACATTTGTGCGTGCGACCGTTACGTTTACCGAACTGTGTTCGACTGGTCGGACGCAAAACAGTAACGGCGGGGCCCCGGCACACACCGGACGGGCGCCCGTCGTTCGATATGAAAACCGAGAGGGTCCGTCGCGGGTGTGGTGGCAGGCGGTGCACGGTGCCACGGCCGGCGGTGAGGCGGTGACAGCTGCGGCGGCAACGCCGGCGGGACGGGACGGAACGGCCGGGCGGCGAGAACCCGCGGAGGCGGAGGGGAAAATGAAAAACACGGCCGGTTTGACCGGGTCGCTACGGCGGATGCCCGTATTAAAAACATCCGCCCGGTTGATTTTCGAGACAGGGGTGACCAAATTGCGCGCGGCACCCACGGCACGGTCGGCCGCCGGCGCGGGCCGTCCGGTTTTGCCAACCCATGGCGAGCCGCGGCGCGCTGGCACCGCCACTATCGGTCGTGGCTCGCATCACATGCCAAACAACGCCGCCGGCGCTCGTTATCGTTTGTCTGTCGTGTAAAAACCAACACTTCAAATTAAAAACGACATATTAAAAAATCGATATTCAACATTATAGAGCTGTGCTACACGAAGAAATATTCATGTGGTTAATGGGTTTTAAAGATTTCGTAGGTCCAGACACACAAAAAAAAAAGTAAAAACAGATTATTGTAATAATAATAATTTCACACATCGCAACGAATAATGAACATTGTCCAATATTTCAACATTTTTTTTTTTAACGCTTTTGAGAAAAAATGGGGTTTTTTTTGTAATTAAGAACACGCCAAGAAATTGGTATTTGTTCTTAATTACATTTTATAAAGCCATTAAAAAATATTAATATTTATAGACATAAGCCAGTTATCCTAATACATATTTATACAGTTTAATGCCACCAAAATGATATTATAAAATGCATTCTTTCACAGGATTAAAATAATATTATATATTCATGTCAACTGTATATTTACTAATTAGTTTTTCTAATCTTTTTTTTCAGGTGAGTGACCAATGTGGTGAAGTAATAATTAATACACAATGAGCGACACGCGATCACGGCGCGTTGCTGATATTACGGAGTAAGATTAATTTTTTCTAATATAGTCATAATAATTTATTTTTATCGACCAAACAAGGTAATAATGATTAAAACCCCTACCAATCGAGATTCTAACGATGGTTATATAGTACTTTTTTTTTTGTACTATTTCATAAATAATTAGGTTTTGGACCAGTTCCTACGCACATACGAATCCTACTTATATAATGGCATTTTTTTTTATAAAAAAAATAATACTATACTACGTTCAGATATCATTGAAAGTTGGGTCTGATCGTCGAGATGTGTGTGTGTGTGTGTACTTAAAGATCACATAAATATTAATGACGTGCTGGGCCCGTTTACAAATCAGGATCCGATATGCATGTTTCATAGGTAAAACTACATGTACAAACGGAAGAAGATGCAAACAGCGCCTATGCTCGCTTGCGGTCTGACCGCGCTGATATTTATGATGCCGGCATCCATATTATATACATAATATTATGTCCTATAGAGCATTACATACATAATATCATATTATGTCGTGTAAACCGTTTATTAAATCTGATAACTTGTAATTGGGGTTTTTTTTTTTTTTTGAAAATTTACCGCTACCATCTTTTTCTATATATTATAATATGATATCCATAAAATACTGTTATATTAGCGGTGTTCGGTAGTTCTTTTTGTATGTATAGTATTTACTATGTTAGTACATACTAAATAACCGCCATAGATTCAGCTATAGCATGAAACTGACTATAGTTTAAATGTAAACAATTATTAAGTTACTTCTTCGCATCATTTTTCATACAAACATTTTACATCAAAATATCGTTAATTTCACTAAGTTCACTTATCCTAACCAACTTGGCTTTTTTTACCTAAAATGTACAACGTTTTAGGGAGAACACTATCGCTTTGTTGTCACCCAGAGAAATCTAACCTGCCCCATCTTAAGTCTGTAATTTTTTAAAAACAACAAGTTCTCTGAAAAGTTAATAAATTAGTACAAGAAGTAACTTTTGTTTTCCCTCCAATTAAATTTGTTTTGCTCTTCTTAACTGCGTTTACGTGGCGTGATATAAAAAACTCACAGACACCAAAGTATACAATTAATTATTATAAATGATAAATATTTTTAAATTATATTAAAACATTTTTTACTATATTTAAAATATGCACAAACCGAGCCGAATCGAATATTTTTTTAACTAAATTGGAATTTTTTTTTTATTGATTTGAATTTAAAATTTATAAAAGTAAATTTGACCTGTTTACAATTTTAATTCTATTTGAAAATTGCATTAGTTTTTTTTAGTTAGTCGAAATTCGTTTTTTCTATATTGAGTGTTATTTTTTACTTCTTACGCCTACATTTTGTTCCACATCTTTGACAGTGCGGTTTACGATTATTCAAAAATCATTCCTATTCTCGCCTCAAGTTCGTGTTTAAACCGTCGCCATATTTAAATTATTGTTTTACCAATCATTATAGCCAAAGTAGATGTTTTTTTATGCCTACACAAAAAGATGGACCCAATCCATAGAGCTGAAAATTGTCGATAGAAACCGATAACCCCCATATCGGACGGTCTTCCCTGGGCTGTATATTTTTAAATCAATTAAAGGATTTTAGTATATTATTATAAGTTGACCCTAGACTGATACTACTCTTGTCTTGGTTTTGGTGCGTTGGACGTGGGTCAATACATTTTGCAAGGCGCACCGCGTAGGCAAATCGGTAGCGCACAAGCGTTAGGTGTCGGTGTCGGCGAGCTCGTTTTAACGCCCGGAGTTGGTATGAAAGCTCATCCATCCAATCAAGACACTTTAATAATTGTGTTTAATATAAATGTATAGCTTAAGCCTAAAAAGGTCAATGTCACGCCTTTTGAGAAAATGTATAAAATATAATGACACAGCCTGGACAAAAATTAAAGTTCAATAGCCAAAAGTAAGATTGGCCTTTGTTCTTCGCGAAAGCCATATGAATATATTCTGTTATATTATAATGTGCACCGCGTTGACTGTATAAATGTTTTTTATTATTTTATTTTTTTTCCATTTGGGTTCTGAAACCGGTGGTGGAAAACACGTGCGTGCCACCGAGGCGTCGTCGGGTCGAATCGTGAATCCATTGTCACCCGAGCTCTCTATAATATTATAATGTACCTAAGGCCGCCGAATAATATATGTATTATTGAGTGGCCGCCTCTGCTGCAGCCTTATGCTGTTGCTATTATTATTGTTACTATATCGATTGCATTTGACTTAATATATTATTATGGCAAATAAATGCGCTTCGAACGCGAGAAATGTGCGAGAGAAAAAATGTTAAAAAGAAAAACACAAGCAAACAGAAAAAAACGCCTTAACCGTGGCCGTCGTGGTCGGGGAACGGCTCGTGTGCGCGAGAATTTTACTCATTTAAATACTAAACGAGCACGACGACGCCTCGGTGGTAATACTTTTTTTTATTTTTCTTCTTCTTTTTTTCCGTTCATGAATTTCAAAACGGCCTCGTACGCTCACGTTCTGACCTATCATCCGAGAAGCACCCCGAGTTGCCATTTTAACAATAATATATATTACATATATACATGTACACAAGGATATATTAATATTACCGTCGTCGTAGTCGTCGTCGTCGTCGTCGTGATGCGAACGGACGGGGTAGAACGCGAATAACGGTGTAGTAAAGTATTATAAATTATTGTGAATAAAAAGATAAATAAAGATTATAAAAAAAAAAACAATGTATTCGACGCCGGTAACTGCTGGATATTTTGTTATCACCATTTACAAACCGTATCATGAGTTAAGGTTTCACAAACAAACAAATATTTCAAATATGTTTAAAAAAAAATCATTAGTTTTTATGCTATCCTATGTATAATTGTTTATTCAATCACAATAATTGCTATTATAATGTTCCAACAAATATTTATAACATCTAAAAAAAACATTGTGGAATCTGACCAGGGCTTCGTTAGAGCCCAACAGAGTAGTGTTAGGTTAAAGACTATGAGAGTTAGGCTTGTAGAGGGACAGTTTATATATTTAAAGTTTAAATTTAAAAATGGAAGGCTTTTAACGTTTTGCTATATGAAACCGTGCATTCGTGAATCCTACAACCCGATGACTGAACATTGGCTATATCATTCGAGTTGAGCACACCTCTAGCTATAGTAAACCCTTAACACAATAAGAATATATGATATTGTTGTATGTATATTCATTATGTACTATTATTACATACTCCGGACCGGCCAGATGATTCGTAAAAAATCCTATACAAACAACTGTACAAAAACATTTAAATAATATAATAATAATAAGAAAAAAATAACTCATGAAAAAGGTGTTTCAACAAATTGAATTATTAAACCAAAACCTTATACATAGTATATGACAGACGGTCCGACTTTATTAACAAGTGTATGTATAACTTATACTTACAAGTAGAATATGTATATATTATGTAAACTATTATTACTGTATACGCGTCTGTTAGTTTTGTTGTTTTTTTTTTTTTACTGCGTTTTTAATGCCAGTTCGACTGCCAGAGTTTGCCACAAACAATATATTATGCACATAATAATAAATAACAATTACTAACGACCCGCTACTTTTTACGGCCCAAGTGTACATATAATTAGCTGGAAAGTATATTCACAGCTATCAAACAAATTATCAAAAACCTAAAAAGGGAGGGGTAAACTTGTATTTTTTTATTGAATTTTAAAGCATTCCGAGTGCGTTTGTACGCAGTTTCGCAGCATAATTTGTTGGTTTTTTAGCTTAATTTTTATTGTTTTTTGCTGCCAGCAGTCCATAGATCACGTAGTACGTCAGAACAACGTAGGTATATGCAATTTTTTCTGTATATACGGGAGATAATTTATTATTTTTTTTTTACCAACGCCACAAAATTCCGTTTAACATTACCACCGGACAACGCAGACCTTTCAACACAGGTATTATGACTCTCTCACGAATTACAACGCAGCTCAACAATGTTGTTGTATTGTAA